GCTTTCCCTGCGCGCCTTAGATGTCCATAGGCGGGAAGCCGAGGGGTTAAGGAGGCAGTGACTCCCCCGGAAGGCACCGCCCAGCTCCCCCAGCACCCCCACGTTCGCAGCCTCCCGGTGCCCGTTTCCTAACGAAGCTGGAATCTGGATAAGGAGATGCGGCGCTACCCTCCCAGGTAGGAGGGGCTGACAGATGATCCCGTAGATGCTGGGTTGGCAAGCACGGCGATAGAACCTGAACCTGGTACAGGTGGGCTCGAGAACGTGGAATATGGAGCCCCTGCCACCACCACAAGCCCCCACCCCCTTTCCACCTGGGAGCTTGGATCCGGGAACGCCCCTGTTAACCTCCCTGCTGGTGTGGGCTTCTTCTCGAGCTGTTTCCCAAACCTGAGGTTGCTTCTGATTTTTTTAAATAATGTATTTCCATAGTAACCGCTGCTGTCTGGGGAACACGTGTAGCGGGGGTGGTAATGATGGGGGAGCTGGCAGCGTGGCGCAGGGCTATCAATAGATTCGGCCACAGGCCCCTGCCAGCCAACTCTGACAATCCCAACCAGCACCGAAGGTGGTGCAGGCACACCCCACGCAGCCGGGTCTATCCGGTTTCCCAGGTTCCAGGGATGGGACTGACTTAATCCCTATAGGATGAGGCCTGAGCCTTGCTCTCTGGGAGCAAGGGAAACCCCCATCCTAATGAGCCTCTTTTCCTTACACTTGAGAAGCTCTTGAGCAGTGGTCCTTGGAGAAGTAGGGAGGGAAGGGGTTGTGTCCTCCCCAGTGCAGTTGGTAATCTGAGGAGTGAGTGACCCCATGGGAACAAACACAGCTCTCTAAAGTGTGGCTTTGAAGGGCTAAGCAGAGCCTGTCAGATCAGCAGTAGGGTGCTTGAGCCCAAGTGAGTGATGGTGGGGTCACCTGTCAAGTGAGTTCCTGGGTTTCACTGCGAGGCAAGTTGTAGGGGTCATGGGGCAAGTTCTTCTGCATCACCCCTGGGCTCCAGAAACCATAGCAACTCCGCAGGCTGGGCTTCTAACCTCAGGGGGAAGAGGGACAGGAAACCCAAGAGCGGAGAGACTGGGGCCAGAACCCAGGGATCAGGGAGAAGTGGTCAGGGAGCAATTCAGTTGGGCATGGGGGCAACAGTTCTGTAGGAAGTTTTGCAGGTGCAGGAATTTTACTGTGAAGACCCTCTTCCTCCAAGAACCATTCTCCAACTCACAACCTTCCAGGGACCTACGTTCTCTGAGCTCATGGATTTACTCCCTCAACTTCCATTGAGAATTTATGTAGCTGGTGTGTGCTGCCCGATAGAGCTTCACAATTCTGTCTCCCATGGGCCTCCCCTCGCAGTCCTCCCCATCTTCCTGCCACAAGTTCCTTAGCTCTCTGGCACGTGTGGCATTCTGCGGTATAAGAAGACGTCAAAAAGTATTGCCACAAAACAATAGATGCCTCTATTAAATAAAAAGTGAAGGTAATGCTTTTTGACATATCAATCATCTTTGTAAAGTGTGGCTCTGTAGGGCTGAGCTACAGAAAGTCTATGTTTCTGAGGGCAGTGTCTCCATGTCTCGAACCCTTCCCCGAAGAATTCCAGACCCTTTGATTTACACCACATCAAAACAGATGTTGGGGCATCTGTGGCAGTTGCATAATCTCCTGTCAACTTGTGAAGGGGTGGAGTCTAGCCTGTCAATCAGGTTGCAGCTTGATGGCCTCATTTGGAGGCATGAAGGAGATAACAGCTCACTGGAGGCCAGATAAACTCCCTGTGAGACATTCCTGCTGACAAGACACAAGGAGCCAAGCTGATAGAGCCAGAGCCCTGGAGCTGGAGAACGTGGAGACCCATGCCAGCGCTAAGATGCTTCCACCACCACTGGATCCTCAAGACTTTCCACCTTTCCACTGGTCTGTGATTTCCACTCTGCATCATTGCATGCATTGCGTGAATCTGAAGAGGAATTTACAGACTGGTATCAGACATATGGGCTAATATCGGGCTTATGGACTTGATCTGGACTGGGCTGAAATGGTTTCTTAATGTACAATTGCTCTTTTGATATAAAACTCTCTTATACACATATGAATGTCTCAGGATTTGTTGCTCTAGTCCACCTGGACTAACACAACATTCTTGAGGGTCTCAAATTGTATTCCTTTTCAGTGGTGTTTGAATTTAGGGAACAAGAAACATTCTGAGGGGGCAAAATCAGGGCTCTAGGGTAGGTGAGGTGAGTTTCCTCCATGGAAGAATCCAAGACAACCACTGCTCTCTGCCAAGAGGAAGCAGGTACATGGTCCTGATAGAAGAAAATTCCTTGGCACAGCATTTCCCGCCTTTTTCTCACCAATAAAGCGTTCAATGTTCTGGACACTTCTTCACAGTAAGGCCCATGATCATCCTGTGTCCTTCAAGAAAATCCACGTGAAATCCCGCACAGCAGTCACCGTAACCTGGTAACCTGAGCTGACCCCTCTGCCTTGAACTCAGTAGGCCCAGAAGATGCGTTCAGAAGCCACTGTATTAAATGGCTGTTTCTTTTTGAAGGAACCCTAACAAGACGAAGACCAGTGTTCTGCTGCAGCCACCACTGGCCACAGGAGTATGCTTAAACACGGTTGGTTGGGATGAACTGCAACCCTCCCTTACAGTCGGCTAGCTGACAGGCTCTGCGGAGCTTTACTTATGCCCATTTGCTCATTCCTCAGATTGCTAGATCTCATTTTTCTACTCATCAGTACATTGCTAAAGAATAGTCCTTTGAATAGGGAACACTGGTGGTGTTGAGCTGCTATCCGCAAGGTCAACAGTTCAAAACCACCAGCTGCTCCAGAGAAAGACAGGCCTTTCTATGCCCTTAAACAGTTACAGTGAACTCATAGGGGCAGTTCTACCCTGTCCTATAGGGTGGCTATGAGTTGGCATTGACTCAATGGCAAGGAGAGGGGGGTGTCTTAATCCTCTCTCTCCCTCAAAATCAGCCAAGGTGCTTTAAATCTACTGACGTTGATTCCTTAGAGGAAGCAAGTACATTTCTGTCACGAAGAATGTCCTTCACCCATAGTGAATGTGGCCCCCGCTGTGCACAAATCAAAGATCTGTGGGTCCCATGATGCCTTCCTCAAGGAAAGACCTTCCAGAAAGGCCTGGGGATCTGGTTCCCAAAGGTTGCTGGCCTGGAAAAGTCCACAGAGTTCAGTTTACACTGTGTCCAAGGGCTCGCTGGGGTTGGAATCAACAACCAGTGGTCTGCTTCTCTCTGAATGTGCACAGTGTTGTTAATGGTCAGGACCATCAAGCTGGTCCGGACTTACAGGGGCCTCATACACAACAGAACACAGCCTGGTCCTGCGCCATCCTCTGAGTCCTTGTGGGTTTGAGCCCCTTGTTGCAGCCACGGTGTCAATCATCTTTTGAGTTTGTTTGGTGTGCATAGTAGGGATCGGCAATTTCTTTGCAATTTTAGGTAGCCTAACAAACTATTTCAAGATACTTGTAAACATTAGGAATTTCTATATGGTATCCTTTAAGAAACTATCACCGGAATAGGTGAGCTTGGGGCTTGCTTTAAGCTAAGAACTTTGACAGACTTGGAGTGGCAGGTTAGGAAGGACAGGAGGCGCCACAGAGTTGCGTGGACAGAGCCACTGGGGTGGTTCTGCCAGTGCCACAGCTCAGACTCTCCAGAGACCCTTCATGTCTTTGTAGGCAGCAGAATGCAACTTTGGGCCACATTTTCTCTGACAAGCAGACTTGATAATGGATTGACCTTCTTCACTGGGAGGCACCTGAGGCTACTTAGGAGCAGATGTGCATTGAAGACATTGTTTCAGCCCAAGTGACCAGCCAGTCTCTTGACAGCTCGATGGGTCTATGATACGAGTCCTAGAACCAGTTTCGGTATTCAGGCAAATGCTTGAACTTTTACCAGGAAAGGTATAAAAATTCAAGTGAAATCAAGTCATGTGTTTGTTTGTTTTCTTCCTTGGCTTAGTCTCATAATCAACTGGGCATTTGTCATCATGGGAACAAAAAGATTCAGATCCTATCCAAACAACAATGACTGACAGCCACATGGATAGGTGGATGATGAATCCCTAGCGGTTTTCCTTTGAACAAATCCTCCTCTCTTCTTGCCACAGTGAGGTTGGTCTTGAGGAGGAAAAGATAATGATCTCAGAGAAGAGAGACAACGTTTCTCAATGCTAGGCTGAAAAGGAAGGTTTATTGGGACTGGCCTCCTAGAAATCGACTCAGACTATCCCCCAGACCTATGGGACTCCCAGCCTACTCCTGATCAACAAGATAACAATGTACAGGTCATCTCAAGAGAGGTGAATGCTGTCTCCTCCTCTGGGGACCCCACAGGCTCCTCCTCCCCACCTGCTCCTGGCATTTCACTTTCCCTACTCCTTGTTTGGGAAGCCCTCCCCCTCTTCCCACCTGCTGAAATCTCTGATCTCATCTTCCGCCAGGCCCTCCCCTGGCCTCCACTGACAATGAATCCCTACCTCCATGCCCACCAGATGCCCTCTGCACCTGCGTCAGAGACTTGGAGCCATTTTAAGTGAAGCTGCCTTGTACCAAGGTAGCTGCTTGTCCTGAGCCCTGTAGGGACACCTTGTGGAACAGAAAACACATGCCTCCAGGGAGCTCCTTGTCAAAGAGCACAGACACACACACTCACAGGAAACCATGATCAGCAGGATCACGATGACTGGAAAGGTGATGGAATATTATGAAATTGCTGGCATTGCTCTGTGTGTGTGTGCGCGCTCCCAACCCTAGTTGCCATTATGTGCATTCTGACTCAGTGATCTTATATGTGCGCTTCAATAGCTGAGACTGTAGAAGTGGACCACCAGGCCTTTCTTCTGAGGCATCTCTGAGTGGACTCACTGCCAACCTTTCAGTTAGCAGACAAGCATGTTACCTGTTGGTGCCACCCCAGGACTCGAGATGTAAAGGGTGTTGGTTGGGAATCGTCCAGTCCAGTGTATTCAAATTCCGTGACCCCGTGTGACAGTGTGGAACCACCTCAGAGGTGTTCCTGACTATAGTCTTGACGGAAGCAGACCCCAGACCTTGTCCGGTGGAGCAATTGAGTGGGTGAATCTTTGGATTGTTGTGATGGCTCTGACCTGTAGTATTAAATTAAAAAAATTATGATGCAGAGGGAGGGTGAGGAGCCAGTCCCCACCCGCTGCTACTCCTACGAGTTCAGTAATACTACTTCTGGGTTCAGTAATGCACAATTGTATGGTTGAGATATATAAGTATTATATTAAAGTCATCGAGAGCATGAGAGATAATACAATAATACAGTCAGGCATGATACATAGCAACATTGCTCACCTCAGCCCAGCTTGGTGGTCCACGTGGAGAGAGGGGGAAGGGAAGGAGGGTAAGGGAACAAGGGAGAGGGGGAAGAGTCAGGGAGGTCAGAGTTAGAGAGAGAAGTTCGAGCCTATATTGCTGACCCATGCCTATATACCTTTTGGGGGCAAGCCAGCCCAATTACAGGTAGAGACATACGTCACAGGGAGGGGTTGCACTATAGGCTACACAGCAATGAGAGGGTGGTCTAGGGGGTGGTCTCTGGGTCTCCATAGGAACATTATCAGTAGGGTGCAAACCCCTCCTACAGGAACCAAGCTAATGGCCTTGGGCTCCAGAGAGAGGTAGTCTATTGTCTCCAGCAGCAGGGAGCAGGCCCAGCCCTGCTGTGGGATGAGATAGCAGTCTGGCAGCAAGTATCTGACTTCCCCCCACACTGACCTATAGCAGCCATATGTGTAACAGAAGGAAACACTGTCCATCCTCACCCTCACAAGTGTCCCATTGCAGCTGCCTTCCTCTCCTTCACCAAGCATGCTGTCCTTCTCCAGGGACTGGTCTCTCCCGACAACACGTCTAAAAGTATGAGACGGAGACTCGCCAGCCTTGCCTTTGGATTAGCATTGGAATACTGTACAAGAGTATGTCAAAAAGCATTGTTACACAATACAGAAAACTTTATTAAGCAAAAATATAAAAATGTGATGCATTGTCCACACCCTCCTGTAAGCGCTGTAGCCACCTCTCCGATCCTCTCCTGAGAAGCACGCGCTCTGTGCAGTATACCGCCCACCGCAGAGCCCGTTCCTGCGTCCTTCTGGACTCAAGGTGGCTTTTCAATGGTCTTTGAGATTAGGGAACAAAAAGAAACCCCATCAGGGATGTAGGGTGGATGAGGTGAGTTTCCCCGACAAAATTGTCTTAAGACAGCCTTTGCTAAGGAGCAGGTGCATTGCGATGGAAAAAAATTCCTTGACACATTGACTAGCCTTTTCTTACCAATACATTAAAAAAGAAGAATTTCCATTTTATTTCCTTACAGATTTGTTTTTCTACCATTTCTAATCTTTACATAGGCTTTGGAAGAGGTTGTGGGGCAGCACCTGCAGGTCTAAATCGAGGTGCAGGGGGGGTGGGGGGTGTGTGTTGGTCCTTCCGGACTTCTCGTGACCGGTTCCTGACCGCCGGGCTGTGAATGGCACAACTCTCGCAAGAACGTAGCTTCACATACAGCGTGGGAAGCACGTCTGCGTCGAAGACGCTTGCTTCGGAACCGTCTATGACAGCTGCGGCCGTCGCTGTTTCTTATTCCGAACTTCGTCATGGCCGTGCCTTGGGCACGCAGCGGGCGCAGAGAATGGGCTGCACATGGCCATCGCCTTTCTAGGCATGACCAGTTACGTCGTGTGTGTGTGTGTGTGTGTGTGTGTGTGTATCTCGGAAGCAAAGACGCGAGAGATACCAATATATTTTTTATTTGTCTGAAAACTTCTTCCTAAGAAAACCCAAAAAACAAAACTTCTTCCTAAGAAGCCCTGTGATCATCCAGTGTCCTTTGAGAAAATCTAACGATTACCCTTCTGGAACCTCCACCTATGGTCACTAGAATTTGCGGAGCTGACCGCTCTACCTTGAGTTTAACTGCCCCAGCAGATCCCCTACGAAGCCACTGTTCTGATTGGGCTTTTTTAAAAATTAATTTATTTATTTGTAAGGGATCCATTGAGACTAAGGTGAGTGTGTTACTGAAAACACTTGTCTGCAGCTACCCACTGACCACAGAGACCGGTTTAAACACCTCTTATTTTGCATAAATCCATGCATGGTATCATATGGGGCCCTAGTAGCAATATGTTTTTACTTTACCTCATATATTATTATTTTTATGTATAAAAGAAATCAATGTATGCATTCATGTCCATTATAACAAATGAATCCATTATTTACTATTTGTGTAACATCATCGATGTCTGCATACATTCTAAATTATTGTGGCCTTCATGAAGACGGGATCCCTAGTAGTGGAGTAGGGTGTGGTGTGGGTGGCCAAGCACCAGGACAGCAGTTAGATCTACAGCCTCAGAAACCCACACCGGAGAGGTCAACTGTGCCCTCTGGGGACAGCCCGAGATGGAATTCTTTGAGTTCACGTTAGAGGGGGCACTTCACACCTGGCTTTGAGGGAAAGGGGGGACTATCCTTGGGCTAAGGAAAGCCAGCCTGTCCCTGATTCCTGGTGTCTGCCACATTCAGAAGAGGCGATGATGTCAGGCTAGTTGAGTGCTCTCTCTATATCTCCAATAGTGGTATCCTCATACGAATCTGTGGCAGAACCAAAGGGAACGAAGATGCTGGCAAGCTGTTAATTGCAGGAACAAAACTTAGACAGAACTCGCTACTACCAAGTGGTTTCCAACACATAGCAACCCTGTGGGGCTGAGTAGAACTGCCCCTGTTGGTTCTGAAGATTGTAAATCTTCGAGGATGCAGAAAGCCTCACCTTCCTCCCGCAGAGGGGCTGGCAGTTTCGAACCGCTGACCTTGAGGAGTGGCAGCCCACAGATGCCAAGCAAATGGTTCAGTGGCCAGAGGATGAAACCTGACGGGGCGTTCACAGGTTCACAGAAAGCCAAGTACGGGCTTAGGCTTCTTAATTCGTAGGTCGTCGCCTTGGTGGCATCTGTAGTGATCCGGGACCAGAGAACAAGTAAAACCCTAAAGTCACGGCCACAGAGCCGGTGCTGACTCATCGTGAGCCCCTGTGGGTTTTCCGAGACTGTAACTGCTGAAGTAGAAAGGCCAGCTTTTTTATAGTCCGGTGGTGGTTTCGAACCGCTGACTATGCAGATCTCAGCCCACCTCGTAACCGCTACACCACCAAGGTCCTAAGTACCGGGCTTAAAATGAACACCTGCGTGCAACTCCCGCGGGGTTGCCCGGCAATTAACAGTTACGGGCGGGGGCAGCAGTGGAGTGGGATGGCGAGGGAAAGGCACTTGGGTCAAGGTCAAGCATAACGTCGATTGGGAGGGGCTTCCCAAGCGTCTGCTCTTTAGAATTTACTCTTACATCATCCTTCCAAATTGTGGCCGCGCTCCCAGGCGCTGGCTTGCCCTGGGTCTCTGACACGTGGGCCACGGGTTGCGACGAGGAGCGGGGCTCCAGGGTCCGCGCCCGGGGACGCGAGCCGTCCGGGCGCTTTAAGGAGAGCGGCGGCGGCGGCGCAGGTGACGTGGCCCGGGCTGGGCGCTGGGCGCTGGGCGCGGACGCGTGGTGCGGGGAGGCGTTCCTCTCGGAACGCGGCTAGCAGTGTGTCCGCTCTGCCTTGCACACTTGCAATGAGACGTTAGGACGGTAACCGAGCCTGTTGCTCTTTCAAAACGTCCTGCTCCTACACTTCCGTGCCGACCCCACCTCTCAAATGACCGTCCTGACTCTTCTGCCCTTAATAAACATGGCTGCCTAGCGCCTTCCCCGCCAGAGAGCCGGGCGGAAACTGCGGAGTCCGGTCCTTAACCGAGGTCCGCGGAGTTCCGCGGGCGGTGCCAGGCAGAGCGCGCTTCTGCCCCGGCGGGTGTGCGAGGACGCAGCCTGGGGCGCGGCCACCCCCGATCCCGAGGCTTCAGGGTTCCGCCCGCTGGGCCTGTCTGCCGAGAAAGCGGCGGAGGGGTCCCCGGCGGGCCGCCACCATGTGGGCCCTCCCCGAGTGGCCACTGCCGCTGCTCGTGAACTTGCTGGGCTCGCTGCTGGGATTCGTGGCCACGCTCACCCTCATTCCAGCCTTCCGCGACCACTTCATCGCCGCCCGCCTCTGCGGCCTGGACCTCAACAAGCCCGGCCGGCAGCAGATGTGAGCCCCGGGCAGGGGGGGCGCGCGGGCTGGGAGGAGGGCGCACGGCGTGGGCAGGGTCCGCTCACACAGCCGCGACTTGGCGAAGACAAGGGGAGAGCGCATTTGCTTTGGGGAAGAGGTGGGTGCGTGGGGGGCCTCGGGGACTCCAGCCACGGTGCCCTGCACCCCAAAAGAAATGTGGGAGGGAGAAGGCAATTTGGGATACCGTAACGCCGGCCCAGGTGAGTGACCACGCCCCCTCCCGCCCCCTCTGTTGCTGGGCCACAGCCCAGAATCTCAGGGAGTCATCAGCGGTGCTGTTTTCCTCATCATCCTCTTCGCCTTCATCCCTTTCCCTTTCCTGAACTGCTTTGTGGAAGAGCAGTGCAAGACCTTCCCCCATCATGAAGTAAGTGGACAGGGGGAGCTGGGAGTTAGTTATACCTGAGAGAATTGGACTATTGGGGCTTGGGTGGCGGGCGGGGGCTGAGAAGACGGGAATTCCTGAGAGGAGAGGTGCAGTGGGAGTGGGCTGGAGTGGAGACACGCCCGAGCCTCCCCCAGTTTGTGGCCCTGATAGGTGCCCTCCTTGCCATCTGCTGCATGATCTTCCTGGGCTTTGCCGATGACGTTCTGAATCTGCGCTGGCGCCATAAACTGCTGCTGCCCACAGCTGCCTCGCTGCCACTCCTGATGGTCTACTTCACCAACTTTGGCAACACCACTATTGTGGTCCCCAAGCCCTTCCGCCCAGTGCTTGGCCTGCACCTGGACTTGGGTGAGTAGCCCTGCCAGTCCAGTCCCTATGGCTCCAACTTGATTCTCTCCCAGGTGTCCTGGTTCTGTCCCTGTGCCTTCTCAGATCCTTTCTAGTGACCCTTCATCCTGTCCTCCGCCAAGCTTATCATTTCTCCCAGGAGAATGTTCATCAGCATTCTTCCTATGGTGTCTTTGTCCTGCCCCCCAGGTCTCCTGTACTATGTCTACATGGGTCTGCTGGCTGTGTTCTGCACCAATGCCATCAATATCCTAGCAGGAATTAACGGGCTAGAGGCTGGCCAGTCGCTAGTCATTTCTGCTTCCATCATAGTCTTCAACCTGGTGGAGCTGAACGGTAGGTAGGGGTGGGGGGAGGGGACAGCAGTCTGAGTGCTCTGTGGCTTTGGAGAACTCAGAGAGAAGCAATATAGGAGCCGTTATAGGAGAGAAGCTAATTACTTTAAAAAAGAATGACCAGTATTGAACCGGAGAAGGAAAAATAGCAGCCCTGTCATCTATCGAAAAATTGGCACTAATAAGTAGGTCATGATGTTCTTCTATTGAACATAAACGATTCTACAAAACCCCAACATCAGACATGGTCAATCTCTGACCATGATGGAAAAGGCAAAAAACAGACCACGCCGTCATCACAGCTGAGCACCAACAACACCGTAAGAACACTGTATAAACCACAGAAATGACCCAACATCCTGGCTAACAGAAGTGACTTGCTTCTTTATAGTAACAATTCCATTCCTCCCACCTCTGAAGATTATGAAGATGCTCAGTCATAGAATTATCTTGCTTTTTGATAGCGCAAAAAGCTTCATTGTGTCCTCTTAAAATTACTCAAAACAAACCCTACACAGGGAGAAGAAAGTAGCCCATGGTCCCATCTCCCCTGAGACCAGAAGAACTAGATATTGTCCGGCTACCGCTAACAGCCAGCGGATCCTGATAGAAGCGGAGAAAAGGGTGAAATGCAACTCGTATTTTTAAAAAGTCCAGCCTTACTCAACTGATGGATACTGGAGGATTTCCTGAGACTATTGCCAGAAGATACTCCAGTCATTCAAATGAAACTCCCTCCTGAAGTCACCTTTTAGTTAAGTAAGAGAATATTACCAGTGAATACTGTACACCGTTAAAAAATTAATCTACGTGAGACCAAATGGTCAAAAGTCACTCTAAAACCAATGGGGGTGGGGTATGAAGACAGAGAAGCTACATTACTTGAAATAAAACGTCCAGAATTGAATTAATGAGGTTGCAACACATTGTAAAACATTTAACCAGTGTTACTGAGCAATTTGTGTAGTAATTTGTTAACCAATAACCTAATTTGCTATGTATGCTGTCACTGAAAACAGCATAAAATGTCCTATAAAAACAAACTGTAACAGATCCCTCCTGACACCCTCTTACTCAGGTGTCCCATAGCTCCCCTTGGTGTGTGGTTTCCACTGTCTCCCCGGATACAAGGTAGTAACCCCAACTTTGATTAGGTGTTTCTGTTGATGGGCATCAGCAAGTTCTTATTAAAGTTAAGCATTTGTCAAGCATCTCCTTTAAACCTCAGACTAGCTCCACGTGACAGGTGCCTTGCTTTCATCAGTGCTGTTTTACAGAAGAGAAAATACGCTTTGGGAAGGCAAAGACATCATGACAGTCAACTAGCCAGGACGTGTACATTGGTATTCAAACCTTGGTTTGAATGGCCTGAAATGAGTTCAGGACAGTGATGAGGAAGGTTATCAAGAATTCCCTCGGAGAGCTCCTGGTGTAGAGATGGTGTTTGCTCTGCCGTCTCCGCTTCCTCCCCCGAGTTGACGAGTATACAGCAGCATCTGAGGACAGCATGTAGGAGTGACCAAAGGACCCTGCCATGGCCTATTCCTGTCCTCTGTATTCAATGCACACTGGAATAAAGATTGATAGTAAAACTCAATGTTCTAAATTTTCATCAAAATGAATGGATCCGTTTGAAGCTTATAAGGAACAGTTGGATGATAAGGAAACTAGTACTCAGATTGTTGCTTGTGTCCATTTGGAGAATTACGCTTTGAAGATGTTTCTGAACACAGACGAGTGCGGTGGGCAGTTTCACAAGAATATGTTCAAGTCCCTCCACACTGCAAGTCTTTTCCTAGCTGGATGTCATACCAGTATTTGGATGAAAATGTAAAGCACAGTGTGTATACAGTGGAAGGCAGCATATATCCTCATTGTTGAGGGAATAGGAAGGCTGCTCAAGCAAGAGCCTGCTGGAATAGGTGAAGATAACAATGCTGAAGAAGATGAAAATGTTGCAGCAACCTCTCTGCCCACTCCACCACCTCAGCCATCATCTTCAACGTAGGACCCAACCAGCATGCCATCAAGCAGCTATCCTGGGGTACAGATCCCTCCCAGTGCTCACATGCCAGCTAAGACCACCCCCAAAGTGCCTCATGGTCTGGGTGTGACAAGTAGTGCTGCTCACCCTACACCACAGACTATTCTGGCCATTGGTCCCACATGTTCACATGGTTCCCACGGGCATGTTTGCGCAACATCAGAGATCCTGTAAATATACAGGCCACGCTTTGCAATGTGATGACGTAATGCTGAAACTGCAGACAGCTCTCAAGTTACTGATAACATGCAGAGAATTAAGAATGAAACCTTAAAAGAAAAAAGAATGAAACCTTTGTACAACGGATTTGTGTATTTGAGGCCTGATGAGCTAACGGTCTGACCCTATGTCCAGCCTCTAAGGCAGTGGTTCTCAACCTTCCTAATGCCGCGACCCTTTCATACAGTTCCTCATGTTGTGGTGACCCCCTCAACCATAAAATTATTTTCGTTGCTACTTCATCACTGTCATTTTGCTACTGTGATGAATCGGGTGACCCGGAAGTTGAGAGCCACTGCTCTAAGGAGTAGTTTTCAAGAAGATGTCAGTTTCTCTGCCTATGGGAATGGAACCCGTGTCTCCGATGCCTGTTGAAGTGTAGACCAGCAGCCTCCGCCAGTTTTCATTGTCTGTAGACTCAGCCATCTTGGGGTACATAGGGCTGATACTAACAAGATCTGGAACTACTCATAGAACCCTACTTCAAAAAGTAAATTCACATCTGTAAAATATATGTTGACAATAGGTTTTGTACCTTAATTTACATATATTCAAAGAGGTTTTTTGTTTTTAATTCTAGCGACGACATTTGAACATATAGCCAATCCTTGCTTTGTCAAAAAACTCGATTAGAGACCATACTTTTGTTTTTCTCAAGACATCTAAAACAAATATGGATGCCCTAAGCTGTTAGATGAATCTGTGAGAGATTCTGTTGAAAACTCTATATTTCTGTCAAATGTAACAGCACGGAGAGTTAAAATCGTCATGGAACATGACAAAGTAAAGAGGCAAAATCATCATTTTCTGCTTTGCTATCCCCTGAAGCGGAAGGTGAATCGGCACTTGGCTCTATAGGCGGGTGACTACATGCATTACAGAATGGGTAAAAAGCCATTTGTATTTGTGCCTGGAAATTCGGTGCTTCAAGTCAAACCTCTGTGCTGCTAATGCATCCCGTAGAGTGAATAGCTAGGAAGGATGCAGAAGCTGACAAGAATTCAGATTCTCAGTTAACTGTACAAGATTCATGGGGAATCATGGATTTACTGTGTCTCTGCATTTGTGCTATATAACATAAATAAGAGGATTCTTGTAACTAGTTCAACTTAAAATTTTTTTTTCATAGCTACCAGAGGGGTAGTGATTTCTTAGAAGTGATTTGGGAGAGGTGGACAGAATAGGGATAAGATTTAGAGGTGGACAAAAAAAGAAAAAGTATGCATGCCCAGTGGCTACTTCAACTTTGCCTGCCTCTTTTCCCCACTCCCAAAGGTGAATATCGGGATGACCATGTCTTTTCCCTCTACTTCATGATTCCCTTTTTTTTCACCACCCTGGGACTGCTCTACCATAACTGGTAAGTAGGAAACTCCAGGATCAGAAGAACACCCCGTGACTCTAAGACAAGTATGGACCTATTCATGACCCGCTCCCTGGTGGAGAGGCTCAACGGGTGTATACCTGAGTTGAATGTTACCAGCAGAGTTCTCAACCAGAAGCATTCTGAAATTGTTCTCTAGACAGCAATATCTGGGGGGTAAGTTCTGTGGAGGCCTAGGAGTAGATAACTTCAGGTTGCTGGAATCTCCTTTGGGTCAGAATTAGGCCAGCCCGGTGCCCAGGGTGTGAGGTGTGAGAAGAAGGGGTGGTCATGCTTCCTGCTGCCCCTGACTCAGATCCTTTCTCCCACACAGGTACCCGTCACGGGTGTTTGTGGGCGATACCTTCTGTTACTTTGCCGGCATGACCTTTGCCGTGGTGGGCATCTTGGGACACTTCAGCAAGACCATGCTGCTCTTCTTCATGCCCCAGGTCTTCAACTTCCTCTACTCACTGCCTCAGCTCCTGCACATCATCCCCTGCCCTCGCCACCGGATGCCCAGGTAGCCCTTTGGGCACTAGGATAGGAAAGTGTAGGCCTCAAAGCTCAGAAGGGACATCATAGCCTTTTCACTTAGGATGTCCAAAGCCAGCTTGACATGTTGTGTTATGCAAAGGCATGGACCCAGAGTTGGGCTAACTTTACAAGTGGGTAGACCTTTTGAATTGACAAAGTGCGTTCACTTTTTTTTTTTTTTTTTTTGCGCGTTCACTTTTATAATCTCACTTCATGTGTGCAGCCATTCAGATCACACAGTAATAAGCAGCAGAGCCAGAGTCAGATCTCAGGCTGTTCAGGGTATTTCCTATAATTCACTGGGAGTGAAGAGTTACTTTGAGTCATGAGTAGTCCCATCACATAAAAAGCTCTGTTTGTTCCAACAGACTGAATACCAAGACAGGCAAACTGGAGATGAGCTATTTCAAGTTCAAGGCCAAGAGCCTCTCTTTCTTGGGCACCTTTATTCTAAAGGTAACAGGGTAACAAGGAGGTAAGGTCCTAGTCAGCCTTCCTGAAATGGAGGAAGGAGACCCAAGGCCTTCCCCATGTCCCAAGGGATTTGGAAACATTCAGCACATGCTCATTCCTGAAGCATAGATATTAGCTGAGCATCCCTCCATCTCCGATCCTTTCCAGGTAGCAGAGACCCTCCGGCTTGTGACTGTGCGCCAGAGTGAAGATGAGGAGGCCTTCACCGAGTGTAACAACATGACCCTCATCAACTTGCTGCTCAAAGTCCTTGGGCCCATCCATGAGAGAAATCTCACGATGCTTCTGTTGCTGCTGCAGGTGAGGTTGGGGAGAGGGCCTATACCTTCTTATCTTACATGCTCCAAAGTTCTGACTCCAGTCCAATTTTCCTTGCAGGTTCTGGGCAGTGCTATCACCTTCTCCATCCGATACCAGCTTGTCCGACTCTTCTACGATGTCTGATCATTGCCCTCTGTCAGCAGTCGCTGGGGTTCCTGACTCAGGACAAGGTCTTTCTGGACCACAGATGGTTGCCTCCCCAGCCCAGGCCTCTCCCACCCAAGGGGACAAGTTTCCCCGGCATTCCCCATTATATTTGTTCTTGACCATTGACGGCTGGGCCATTCCTACCCTCTAAAGACTATTGATTGAGGTTTGCCGGTGGCTTTCCTCAACTGGCTGCTGGCCCATGCCATTCTGTCCTTGCAGCCTCTTGAGGTGGGCAGCTTTTATGCAGCTACCCACAACTCAACATCCAGCCTTGATTCCCAAGGAATATTCTGGGCGGTGGGATAGAACCTGCACTGGAGATAGAGACAGAGCCCGGAAGGTGACTTGACGTTTGATTAGTAATTAAGTGTTCTGATTAGTAGGAGCTGATTTGGGGGCCAGGTGCTCCCAGTGGTAAAATAAAGTGCTGTGTTTTCATTGTTCCTATAGGTATATCCTTCTGTGGGCATTTTAGGATAAGAGGGATGCTTTCCTAAGGGGCATCTCAATAGGATGTCTGCCTCTTTTCTTTCGGTACATCAGCACCTTCTAGCAGAAAGAATTGAGACCAAACTGAACATGTTGAATAAATATTGAGATCCTAATACTGCAGGTTGCTATGAATCGACTTCATGGCAGTGAATTTGGGTTTTTTAGTACTTCACTGTTAAAATTGAGGGCCCTGAAATTGGCGCTGTTTTCTTGCATTGGGTAGAACTTTCAGGGGTCTCATTCTTTCCCGCATCAGTCGTTCTGTGGGAGAAAGGTGAGGCGGGCAGCTTCTGTAAAGACTTACAGCCTCAGCAATCCAATGGTCGCCGTGCTTCGAACGAACACCGTGACAGCGATTGAAAAGGAGTAACCAGACCTGCGCGGGGAAATGGGTGGCCCTACTTGTCGCTCTTTTTCCTTTAAAAACCCTTAAGCCAGCCCAGATTTCCCAGAGGCTCTTTAAGCGGCTTCAAACTCCACCCCCATTGTCTTCCGGATCTCGGTCCAGACCGTAGCATTTAAATCTCGCGCGCTTCACGTGCATTGGCTACATCACGCTGCTACTCCGCGCCTTTTTACCGGGGTAAAAGGCTTTCAAACTCGACCAATCAGCAGGCGCTCTTCTCGGGCTGAGGCGCGTCACTGCAGGGCTAACAACAACCAATCGGAAGCAGTATTAGAGAAACGAGCCAATCAGGAAGGGGCTGGGGGGTGGTGCCTTGAGGGGGTATAAATCGGGCTCCTCAGCGCGCGCGGCAACAGTTGACTGCGGCGAGGAGCTGTGTGGTGTCCTCGTACCCTTGCGCTTTCGTCCTTCAGCGAGTCGCTACCCCGTGCAGCATGTCCGGCCGCGGGAAGACCGGCGGCAAGGCCCGCGCCAAGGCCAAGTCTCGCTCCTCGCGCGCCGGCCTGCAGTTCCCGGTGGGCCGCGTGCACCGGCTGCTGCGGAAAGGCCACTACGCCGAGCGGGTCGGCGCCGGCGCGCCCGTCTACCTGGCGGCGGTGCTCGAGTACCTGACGGCCGAGATCCTGGAGCTGGCGGGCAACGCGGCCCGCGACAACAAGAAGACGCGCATCATCCCCCGCCACCTGCAGCTGGCCATCCGCAACGACGAGGAGCTCAACAAGCTGCTGGGC